ATCTAACTATAGAGTGACTGTCATGTTCATATTGAGCTGCAGAAAACATTGCCAGCATGTCCTTAGCAATGAGGTGTGTTTTACAAAATAATTGTATATGCAAATACAATCCAGGTGCTTTAAGCAGGCAAAAGGAAGAGAAAAAAGAACAAAGAGGAGCAGGGATATAATTGTATAAAGAGCAAAATAATTTTGCTTCTTTTCTGGAAACATATAAAGCATTGAGTTAGGAAGTTGCAGCTGTCTACTTAGATGTCTTAGGATCAGGCTTGAAACAAACTCATTGGAAGGCACTAAGACCTTGAACACAGCAACACTCAAACTTTGAAGTTGATATTTAACAAAGCTAAGCAGTCAGAACCTGGCAGTAGAAGAAACAAGTCACTTTTTCTGCCCTGTTCTTCATGGAAGATGAATATTTTGCTAGATATATTTTCCCAGGTGTTCTTTTCATAGGTTTCAGCCATTTTATTTTTGTATTAGGTTGCACACTTTATAAAGTGATACTTTCCTCCCTCCTGGCTTCATATATGTGGGATTGGAAAATATTTTAAAAACAGACCATAGTAATATAAGTAAGAAAATGCTGTAAATGTATGGAGTTTTCTCATCAATTTGTCCGTGAAAAGCATTTCTAAAATCTCTAAAAGTATAAACAACATTTCTAAGAGATAAAGAGAAAACAAATCAAATAGGGTGATTTGGGCAAAGTATGGCATTCCATGCTTCTTCTTTCCCAGTTGGACAATGTAAATACTGTGATACGAATGTGCCATACAATAAATAAAGAAATAAATGTAAATATCGATGACAAACCAGCCTTCATGTCAATGTATTATGTGTCCATTTCCAGATGCGATAGTATAGACTTCCCAATTTGATCAGTTCTGAATGTGTTGGACTTTCACCTTGATGGCTATGTTGGCTGAGATATTATGCACACTGAAATTCTAACATATCTGAAGGACATGTTTGAGAAAATAGTGTCAGTGCAGAGTCCACATTCATACATCTGGGAGGAGGATTTGTGTGGATTTCAAGGTATCCTTCTTAAACTGATGCCTTCGAGATACCTTAACCCTAATTCCCATTATCCTTAATTGGTTATCTTGTCGGAGGAGTGGTGTAGTCAGATATATCTGAAGAAGCAGTAAGCTGGAGAAACCTTCTGTAGAAGCATCCCAGGCTGCTCTTTATTCTTTTAAAGTAAAATCTGGAAGATGAATAGCATTACAAAGTCCCCAAAATGCAAAATCTATATAAACATTAAGTAGAGAAACATTTTATCTTGAGTGCTGCTAAAATGCAACTGAAGCAGCACCTTAGAGAAAATATGTGTGGATCTTTATTGCATGTTTTGTCCTCTAAGTTTTAGATTCATCTAACCAACCTAGCGGGTTGTCCAAAATCTGTGACGATTTTATGAATAGCAATGTCAACCCCATATAAGAGTCATTATCAGAAGGCTTTGTCAGGTGAAAAATGAAAGCAGGATAGGTAATTGAGGGTAACATTAATATTAAATGGCTGGGCAGAATACAGCAACAACATGTATGTAAGGCAAAATGTTCTCAGTATGAATGAGTAGTTTATTCATGGGATGTAGCAGAGAACTAAACTAAAATCATGTGTTTCTTCAAAGGGCCATTCAAATGTTTTAGATTGTTGAAAAATATAGCGTACCAAAAGTAAAGTTTATTATTGCATGTAAAGATATTTATTTAGAGAAAGAAAAAGTGGTTGGCACAGAACAGATTAGAAGAATGAAATAAGATGGCTAAGGTGAGTTTGGGCAATATTGAGAGGAAGCAGCCTACCGTCCTTCATACGGAAACCATTTTCAGACCAAACCCATTATATTGTACTAGTTTCATTTTGAGTTTTTGAAAAGTGTCTGATTTGCCACATTGGGAGCTCTGGCAGCAGGTGTAATTACTACAAATGGGTTAAAGCAATTTATGTTGAAACTCTTGGCTTTCAGTCTTTGGCTTGGAGGTTGATGGTTCTAAAACAGAATTTGAGTTTCCAAAACATCCAAGTTGAGATTTATATAAATGTAGATTAAAATGCCTCCTCTAATATCAACACCTTCTCTAACAGTTTTAGATGTGTTGATAAGCCATGTCACATTTTACTATAGTTTAGACAACAAACCATGATTGTTCAAAAGACATTTACAAGTCATCAAGATTAGAGTCGTCTAGTTTATTAAGCCAGAGTCAAAGTAATACAATAATGTGATGAGTTAACTCCACTAAGATTTGAAGGTTTTTTTTCACTGCTGTTAATATCCAGCAGACATTTCTTGTTATCGAATATCCATGAATCCTATGTTCTCTTACTTACTAGTACTTATTTTCTTTCTGAGCAGAGATACACCCTCCATCGTTACACATAATAGTATCAAATGCAGCACATCAATGCCTCTCCAGAAATTGCTATCAATGTGCAATTTTAACAAAAGGATATTTTATTTTGTATAATTTTATTGAACTTTACATTTTAATTATGTCATTTATTTTTGTTAGACCCACCCTTTTTATGGGAATACCAACATTATTGAATGACACCATAATGTCATTCAAATTATCAAATGTGGCTCTTAAACCTCAATATTGCTTACCCTTACCTATGAGAAAGACATGATAAGCTTTTACAGGAAGCACAGGACTCTCAGGCCACACTTGAAAATATATCGATATAAAATATGTATATCGATATAAAATATGTTTTAAAATTTTTAGGCTTACATATGGTTTATAGCATTTTCAACATCTGGCTGAACACTTTTTCTATATTTGCTTGCGGTCAAATAAACATTTTTAGGGGCTTCTTAGCTTTTGTTTTTTGTTTAAATGAACAGCTTTCAAGTTGTTACACTGGATGATTGCTATAAAGAATGCCATTAAGGACAGACATAATTCATTCTGGGCAGCATTGCTTTAAAGAACATGTTTATAAAACATAGCTGCATTATGATATTTGAATATTCTTTTATGCTTCACCAGCATCTAGCATCTGTCACTCAATCTTGAAAGAAAAGAGCACAAACTACACAGAACATTGAAATAAATCAGATTTTGGAATACACCTGTAGATATTCAGTGAACACAATAAAGATATTTGCCGACTTAAGCATTGCAATTTTCTCTTGCAATTATAAAATGTATATGATTGTTCTGAGTATATATGCAGTGAAAGTTAATAAACTTTGAGAGGGGTGGGGTCATTATAGTTTGAAAAATCAGAGAATACATCATTGGTGTGACTTATGTCCGTTTTGTGATATCGTACATGTGATGAAAATATATACATCCTTTGTATAGTTTGCATAGTAAAATCATATAATGTACTTCCAGTGGAATTTGATTCCTTGCATTGTGAGCCCAATGCACAGATTTCAATTGAAACCCCCTTGTATAGAACTATAGCCTGTTAGATTGCAGTTTCTCTGTTGGGACCTACATATTTTGCTGTATGTTCAAAATGTAACATGTCTTCCAAAAGCAATGGGAACTCTTTGTGGTATATTAATATTGCTGAAAAAAATATTTAATGTCCAATACTGATCCTGGAAACATAAACATTTTTTGTCTCAACCTCTGCTCTTTTCAAAACATCAGGAAAAAAGATTTTCCATGTTCATGTTGATATTCACTTGCATGTAAACTTACTACATATGTTTAATGTTGTGGTGGCAGTGTGCAATCCACAGGCTAGTAGCCAAAGTTCTCTAGAAGAGATCAGTTGAAAGCCTATGATAAAAGCTGTTACTTTTCTGCAGCTTGTGCCAAAATGAGAATAAGAGGAGAAAACAAATCTATGAAAGAGAAACAAGGGGGCTTGAAGACAGAAGAGATGTTTTAACTTCCTTCAATTATACACAGTGTTACATCCAGCAGATAATGCCCGAGCTGACAGTATCCCTCAGTAACAAAAATAAAAGATTGACCCATGCTGTTCTAATATCTTACATGAGAATAGGATGCAGAATACCACCCCAATGTGTAATAAAAAACTTGGCTTTTTTGAGACACTTCACTCTCAACAAGATTGACTGGAGGTAGATTTTTTTGGAGGCATATGATGGGCAGTCCAAGTGAAGACTTCAGAAATTAACACCCATCCTCCGGAATACAACATTGAAAGAAATGCTTTCATGTCAGTTTTGATCAGCTAATTATTAGTCTCTTGAGGCACAACTTGGAACAGATTACATAAATTTTCTGCCATTGCATACTCATGCTAGTTAATTAAGTGAGGAAAGAGTTTTTAGTCCTTTATAATTGAAGAGAATATGTAATTTGCTCTGCATATTAATGAGAAAGGAAGATTATAATTTTGCTTGCCTTGAAAATAATGCAAACCAATCATGAGCCTTGTATTAGCCAAGCTTGCATCCAATCATTGGATGTCATAGTGTAACAATGATTTCCTGCTCTGTGTTTACTTTTAGGTACGGTTTCAGACAAAGTTAGCTAAGCATCTGCTATGTTGAGCCGGGAGAGGGGGAGGGAGGGAGGGAGAGAGAGAGAGAGATTTGCAGACTGGAACATAATTGGAAATTATTATTTTAACAGACTGAAAAAAATAATTCATTGTCTGAATAAAGCTGCCAAGATACAGTCTGTAAATAAAATCTCAGCTTTAGCTATTATAGTAATGATTTGTTAATAATATACTTTACTTTATACTGAATTTAAACCATCTAATATTTTCAGTTTTGTATTTGGAAAGATTTTCCTACTTTTTAGAAGAAAAAAATAGCCATTTGAAGTGTTATTAATATTGTACACTGCTACCAGATGTTAATGTATCTAGGAAAATCTGAATCACGATTTTAGTTCCCTCTGAAAAATAGTCTCATGATTTTTTGGCAATGGACAAGCATGCAGGCTCTTAGTGTTTTCTAAAATGAAGACAGTACAGTCTGATGGCATTTTTCAGTTTGTAGCTGGCCGACCTGACCTGCAAATGACTAAATCTTCTTTTTGTTTCAGGGACAGAAGTCATACCCCATTTAAGCCCCCTTCCTGCACCAGGTAAAGTATCAGTGAAGGTGCCATCTGCTGATATAGAGGACAAATCTCTGAGCTTCAGTTCAGTTCATGGGAGTTCAGATTCTTCTGGGGCAGACACATTTTGAAATGTGCAGGCTTATTCATGCATACAGGTATTTTGGGGAGAGGATGTTGACAGGTATTTGTCTGAAAATAATGTAACACGCTAACGTTTGGTGCAGAAATGTCGCTAGCCATATTGTAAAAAAATGATTTGCCTTTTATCATCAGGAACTTTATAGACTGTATATATATATGTATATATAAATATCTGTGCATATGTGTTGATAAAATATGTACATTTTTAATAAAATATTTTGTGTTTTTAAAATTTAAGCCTTGGTATTGTTTCTTTGTTCATCTTTTGAAATCACATATTTGAATGGAAGGGAGAATCAAACTGCCCAGCAAAACATGGGCGATGAGGCCATTGGTCTTTCTTACTTTTCTGTTTAAAATAGATTAGCAACATCCATAGGGTTAGATGTCAAACCTGAGGACTGAGCTTCAGAAGTTCTTTATGCTTGCTATCATTGGATTAGAAGCCTTTCTTCCAATTGCAGCTGGTCAAAGTGTCTTTATTCCATGTAATTTACAATTACTATCTGTATGTTTGTGATCAGTGTAACTGGGGAGAAAACGGACCCTAAGTGTGATTCCTTACTTTGGAAGCGAAAGGCTGTCAAACCAAACATGTTATTTATTATTTCTGACCTTTGTACAGGTGTGATGGTATAAAGAAAGACAGCTTGTAGCATAAAATCCAACTCCCTGATTAATATAGTCTTGGCATATTTACAATTTTACTTTTTGGCTTTTCTCATAATATAAGAATATCCCATGAGACCTCCCATGCAAGGATGGCATTGCTCCATTTTTATTTCTATACATACTTTCTATCAATTCCTGGTCATCTTATCTATCTATGATTTGCTCTAGTAGCCCACGTACCCTCATATTGTCCTTGTTCCCCAAAGAAGGCAAAATGGAACAATTCTAAACAGGCCTTCATGGATATGTTCAGAGCCCCCTGAATGATGAAGAGGAAACAGGACACGTATGGACAATGAAAGGGGAACGTAAAAAAAGAATATAATGCTTATCTCCTGAAACTATAGAATGAACTGAGGGTTCCAGAAGATACCAAACATCCAAAAAGGATACCCTGAGTATATTAGCAATAAATATATAACTGAAGAAAAGTCCATGGAGGTTGGTAGTTGATAGCTGAGTAGCCAAATGGTAAAGGATACACTAAGGCAGAACTGGCTGTCTCATATTTTGCATTTGTTTTTTCAGAAAGAAAATGATGTAGCTGATTGTGATTTTGCCACTATGAGGAGGGAACTATAGCTTAGGATAAGGTCAGAGAGAGCTAATTTAAATGAATTCCAAGTCTCCTAGGTTGGATGAATTGGTTTGGTTTGGTTTGGTTTATTAGCATTTGTAGGCCGCCCTTTTCCCTGAGGGGACTCAGGGCGGCTCGCAGAAAACCAGGGAAGGGGGAATACAACATTAAGATAACAACATATAATAAAATAATAGGCAACATACATTCATCATTCGGGCGGGGTAGCGATCCTTATCCCCAGGCCTGACGGGCGAGCCAGTTCTTCAAGGCTATGCGGAAGGCCCGGACGGTGGAGAGGGTACGAATCTCCACGGG